ACAGAGAAATTGAAGCAATTAAATGTAACGATTGTTTTAGAATCAAACGGATTGCTTTCACTTATCGAACAAAATTTACTTCTTTTCGAGTTTTGCTATAATGTAGCATGTTAAGGGAAATTTTATTTAAATTTCTGAGTACTAATATCTAAATCCATGTCGGACGGGTATTATCTTTGAGGATCAATCACCCATCAAGAATCACTCGATCCGAAAATGCTCGTTCAATTAGGGATTTTCGATTTGATTCTATAAAACGAGGGGAATTTACGACTTGAACTTTTTTAAACGGCTATTTCTTATTTCATGAAGAATAAAAGAAATATATCATATTTTATAGATATACACAACCTCCTCTCCTTGGATTTAAATTTTAAGCAAAGAATGTACTAATTACCAGTGGTCAAACGAGCGACATTAGACCATTGATTAGCCCTATATGTACGCTTATCAGAAGCAAAATGGAGGAACTGGATTGCCTTTTTCGCTCTAWACCAACAAAGAAAACATCCCAAGGATAACTGAAGGCTTGACTGGGTTTATGGTTAATTCCAAAACACAGCAAACTCCACAACAAACAGAATACTTCAATTTCGTCATGMAATTATATAAAATTTGATCAGAATCGAACTCGACGCAAATATGCTTAGTCGCCAATTTAGCCGGTGTGACTTGTCGCGCGTGAACTTGACGAATTTGTCAACACTAAATCGTCCATAAATGCGTCTTTCGCATCCTACAAATTGTCTCACGCTTTTGACCCAAGGCTCAAGATGTTAGGTAGTAYACAGAGGTCCCATAGACACAAAATGCGCGTTCTTATATTTGATACCCCAAAATATTCTTGATCGAAACTAATTAWTAAAAGGAAATTATCTTTCGAGCGAGGAATGGCGAAATATAAGGCCCATACCTTTGCAGTAGATGAGCAAGCTGTCGTTTTCAAACTCGAGTCTTGGGCACTGTACTTTAGAATATTGATCTGTGCCGGCATATATTTATTAAGAAATATTCTCATTGTTTTTTTGTAAATTTATTCAAATTCCTGTCCCAGCCAATAAAGACGTAAATCCTCTATTGTCATGCCTTTTCACACACACACACACACAAACACAAAAAAAACACGATTATATAGAGCCCAACCTACAAAAGATAAAAGTCCGAAACAAAAGGCACTATACCAAATACGTCAACATAAATTCTATTCACACAACAAGCCTGCTTTAAGGCAAAAAAAGTTATTCAGATATGTTTCTATGTCAAGTTTTTAATCACGATGAAATATAATTAATCACAAGCGTTCACTTACTGCACTTGAGTCGCTATTGGCTATAAGCCTTAAGTTGAAAATTTTATCCAAAGCAATCCTTTAGAGTGGTTTTCCGTCAACCATGAAAACACTATAAGTCTAATAGTTAGTAGTAGTTTGTAATAGACCAATTCTAATAGTCTAGGTTGATCTAATTGATATAGGTATCAACATATTCATCACAAAAACAAGTTTTTTTTAATTCTAAATTTTAATGTCATTTTTGTTATGGTAACTAATTAAACCAAACGTTTAATTTATTCAAACTAGTCTGTTGTTTGTTAGCKGTTCGTTTATAGTTTATATGTCTAAAAGGGGGGTGGGGGAGATCGACCCCGTTTTGGATAGGTACGTGCCGCCAGCGGTCTAAATCCCTGACCCTGTTTAAGACACTTAAAAGTAAAAATCCATACCCTGTTCAAGACAAATCGSAAAAATARGGAATAGCTATCTACGCCGCAACCATCAAAACTGCAATTATACTGACATCCATCAAAGACAATAAGAAGTTTTTGATAACACGTTAATTCTGGGACAGTGAAACGGTATTTCTACTATTTCTACGGTGTTTTTCATGAAAACCGAGTACCCTGTCCAAGACACAAAAAAAATTATATCGGTCTTTTATCTAAATTGTAAAGCCTGTTTAAGACAGCAAGGCCAAAAACCATACCCTGGCCAGCGGCACATCCCCGTATAGCAAATATGTGGGAGTACCCCCCCCCCCCCCGGGATGCAAGGCCGCATGGTTTATTTACGTTGTTTCATAGTAATCCATTTTATTCCCAAACAGGATTCAGCTTGTGAATTGCATTTATTCATAAATGTTTTTTCAGTATTTTTTATGATATTATTCGAGATGAAGTAAAGGGTTTTCGATGGATTATTGTAGAACAATGCGTGATATTTCATTAAGGTTTCATCAAGTAATAGAACGTTTTTTGAAAAAGATGGCATAATGGTATAGAACATTTTTTTATAGCTTCAGYTTCTACGCGAGGAAAACATTCAATAATCAGGAAGCCGGACGCGACCAGATCTGTTCTTCTAAAAAAGTGTTCTTATAAGATTTTTCTCCTGGGAATTTTAAAAGTGATTCACAACTAGAATTTTAAATTGGGAAAACTCACCCTTAGGGACTGTGCAATAATTACCAGGAGGGGGGGGATTACATAAAATTGATGCCATGTCACGAACAGAAAGCTAATACTTTCATAACTCAAATATCAATTGGAACATTGGAATTGTCTGATTAGGGTGGACAACCTTTTCAAGATCGACTGCATTATAGATCAGCGAATTCAATAAGAGGTTCTTATCATTGAGACCACCTAGAGATTAACGTATAAAAGGAGGAGATGTAATAAAAAGCAAAAATATGTTCAAGACCAAACACTCATTCAAGCAAAGAAAGCTTTTTGTTGCCCGAGACTTTGAACTTTGAACAGACTATTTCACAATGCGATCTTTACCATTTTTCTCCCTATCTGAAAAAATTGTCGTGTTTTATAAATTTCACTCCATGCGATAAATAGTCAATATTTTGTTATTGTTAATTTTAGTGCAAAGAGAACAATTTTAGCTTGAAATTTCAAAGTATAATGTTATATTCCTTTAACTTTCAACTGATTATCCAAGTAAACTAGGGAAACAACATTTATGCTATGGCATTTCTCCATTGCATATCATTACGTAGTCCGAGGTAAAACCTTAGCCAAAATATATCAAAAAAAAAATAATAATCGTATGAGGAAGTGGCTGATCCCATTAAAGAGTGCTCAATACACATAAAGTGTAGAGCTAGTTATATATATGATATCAAAGAGGCAAGATTTTGCTGTAACTCCGAGTTTCGTGCTACGCACTCATCAGCCTGAGGCCGTATTTAATTTAAATACTGTCTGATGAGTGCGTAGCACGAAACTCGGAGTTACAGCAAAATCTTACTTCTTTGACATCATATATATATAAGAAAATAAATTGAATAAATTGAAGAAAAAGKCACACAACTTGCAACTAGTATTTCCACTCTTTATTAGAACGTTTCGGCACTTCGTCCTTCTTCAGCAAACTCTGAAAAATATATATAATAAATATATAAAAAAATATATGTGTCAAAAAAGAACTATCGGCAAATCTTTTTACGAGAAAAAAAAAAGTAGATTTCAAACCTAAAAATTTACCAAAAACAACGTCATCCGAAGAATTACAGAAAAGTGCAAGTGGTTGCCATAGTAATTCAACAATGCAATGTATCTCTTTTGCTGGTATCAGAGTTAGAAGCCCGATGAATTTAACACTAAGTACTATTTTTATATAGAGCAAACGCAGGAAAACCATGAAATAAAACCAAACTAAATACTAACAAATAGCGGTTTATATTTAGAGACAATTTGTCAGTATCAATGAACCAGAACACAATGAAGATGAATCCACATGGGACCAATTTTTCATTCTTCTTTATTGCGTTCGGGTTCATTGATAATGACGATTTGTCTCTAAATAGGCGCTATCACTGGAAAAAATCGTTCGCTTTAAAGGTTGTAAATTTGATGTAAATATGATGTAAGTGTCCAAAATTCTGTATATTTGATGTAAATGATTTCCATTAAATTYACATCATTTTGGACACTTACATCATATTTACATCAAATTTACAACCTTTCAAGCGCGCGATTTTTCCAGTGTATTTGTTAGTATTTAGTTTGATTTTATTTCATGGTATTCCTGCGTTTGCTCTATTTTATTAGAATTATATTAGAGCAATGAGAGTAGTAGAATCGAGAACATTATGCTAGTTGCCCGAGGAAAGTGGATGTACTGAAAAACAATTGGTTGCCGTAGAACGTATTTCGAGGGAGACTATGATGTTTTGAGGAATATCCAGTTTCTAAGAGCAACTGTCACAGCACCAACTACTGTAAAAAAAACTATTTTTTTGTTTAAATTATTCAACGACAAAATTTTTCAAAAACACAGCAGGATAACAGGATATGTCTCAAAATGACAATAGTCTATACATTGTACAGTGCTGGTATAGTTGCTTTGAAACCATGAAAACTCCTTGTGAATCGCGGTGATGTAACAACCAATAATGCATTTTTGTCCTGGAGTACAATATCCCTTATCAGCATTCACCGTTCTCTGAAATAACAGGTATTCGACTGAAGCCTTGTTAATTCAGAAATGTGAAATAGTTTAAACAAATGTTGGATACGCCGTACACGNTTTGTTTCCCATAATGACTTTCGGTCTTGCAATGAAGTACCCTTTTGAGCTAACGATGTTTTTGAATTAGGTGTAATGAAATACGAAACTGATAGCTGTCAATCACAGATATCATACTACATCGCTGACAAAAAAAGGACAGATCTCCTTGAGCAAACATTGTCTTTCCGTTACTGGACTTTTTGACAAGTGTTAAAACGGTTTTGATAATCAAGACAAGCTGCTTCAAGAGCTTTTTTTTCTATTGACGCGGGAAATGACAAGAAGTGAATGTTAGCAAACAAAGGAACAAGTAGTTACTGAGTTCGGATAGCATTCGAGGTTAAATAATCTTAAGATACCTATTATGTTCTTTTATCCACTTTTTATTTCCTTTTTATTTTTTATTCCGTTTTTATTTTCCCTTGAGATTTTAAAAACAAAAACAACTAATATATACATATCTATAGAAATATTAAACTAAGCTTTCTTGACGTCTTGAAGACAATAATAGAGAGTTTTAGATTCGCATTTACGGCGAACGACAAACGTCAAAACTGATCACGTGATCACTGCATATTTTTTTGTGTATAAAATAGATCACTCTTTCGTGCATAAGCACATCACTATTCCTTTCGAAGCGTTTTTACGTTTGTTTGAAATTGAGACAAAGCATAAAAAAAATTGACGTTACTTTGATGTTTGCAGGAAACGCGAATCTAATGAGCCACGACTTATAGAAAATAGAAATAAGTTTTAGTTTATAATGTCGTCTTTCTGAAAGCCATCAGAAGTTTTAAGCCCTAGCTAGTAAAATTACAAGAGGATAATCAAAAAAAGAAATCTGGATAGCTGAATAGAGAAAGACTCAGATATCATCTTAAATGATACAATTTAAACTCCTTGTGTATTCCCCCCTTAGTTTAGCTTGGATGATTAATTGAGTTTGAAAAGCTTATGCAAGGTCACCGAGCTCGATCAATTTGCGCGAGTTAAGTTAGCAAATAAATGGTTTAACGGCATAATTCATTGCAATCAGCAAAAACAAATAAGGAAAAAAAGCAATATTCACAATAAAACAAACAATGTTATTTATATCTCAAATCTATAATGAAAAAATACGGCATAAACTTTTATCTATTAGACTACTACTCCAATCATGACTTGTTCATACGTTGTAATTCGGGATTTGTACTCGTAATTTTGAATAATATTTTCTTAAAGGGCTGTGTTCCACCAGCATTCAATGCGATCGTGTTTATGGAAAATGAGGTGACTTCAAATATCCATT